TTTGTTTGATCCTAACCAAGGTATTGCCCAATGATGAATATCTGAAATTCCCTGATAAATTCACATAGAAAAAGGGGAATATCTTTCCCAAATGGGCAGGCAACCCTCCTGTTATCTTTTAAGCACCAGCTTCAATTTGACCTGTTTGTCCAAGGTTTTGATGGAGATTGCCTTATTCTTCTTTCCTTTGAAGGCTATTCCTTATTGTACTTTTTGTTCTTTTGAATTGTATTGTTTGTCTTCTTTTGATCTTTATTTGCTTTGTTCTGAATCTGATTTTGGATTTCACTCTTGCCTTATCTTTCATTTGGAAGTGGCCTTGAGGAGAAATGGATAGAAAGGTGGAAGGAGGAACCTAAGAGTAAATTAATTGAATAAAATAGGTTTGCCTTTCCTGCATTTCTTAAACTTAAAAGTCTGTAGTGGTTACAGGATAGCAAGCCCAGGATAGCCATTTTTATAACATTTTTATACAACATTTTTTTTTTTTTACAACCTGGAAGTCACTTTCAGATTTTTAAAAAAGGCTTCTCTTAAAATGGCAAAATCCAGAGTCCTTTGGGGGACATTTTTAAATAGTTTTTTAAATTAAACATATATTGTTATACATACATGAATATATATGGATAGCAACATTTTCAACATCATTAAATCCCCCATCTCCCTTCTTTTATTCCAATCATTGCACAAATGGATTTGGTGACTCCTTGAAACAATATTTTTTCTTCTATTTAAATACTGCTACTGTTATTCCACATCTTTCTATGTCTAGCATTGAGCCATGGCAGTTAAAGTGGTATCAAACTGGATTATTTCTGGAATGCAGATGCTGCCTCTGTCAGCCCACTTTTTCAGTTTCAGCTTTAAAAATGTCCCGGTTTCTCTTTCCCCTATCCACCTCTATCCTCAGCTTACTTCAGTTGCTGCAAATTGAGTTCAGAGTGCAAAAGTAATTTTTACTCAATTAACTCAGAAAGGAGGAGAGGAGGAGAAAAGAAGTCTTGCCCTTCCCAGTAGACTCAGGCAAAAGCAAACTTCTGCAGTCTTGCCTGGCCTGTCTGTTATTCCTCATTAAAATCTTTTTCTGTTTTGGCCACATTCTGATTTTGCATATCTCCATGTGTTTCAGTTTTCAATGTTTTCAATGTGAAATGTTGGAGGATATAGGGTACACATGTGACAAATAAAATGACTAATTACATTTCCCATATAGGCCTCTCTCTATACAAAAGAACAGATGAACACAAAACTGTTACTCTGTAGCTCCCCTTGAGAAAAAATAGATTCCAGTGCAAAAGAGTTGAGCAAACTTTCTCCAAAGCATTCAACTCTATTTCAAGTGGCTTGAGTAGAGATAAGGGATTTTTATCACATTACATATGTCAATCAGTTAATATTATAATTATAGGCTATCTGCCATCCATAAACTACTGTTGGTTTGTTGACAGTTA